TTTATAATTAATTATATATTAAAAATGAAGCATTGAAAATTGTGAGTTTAAAAGATACCTATTCACTATAGGCAAATAAATAGATAGCTCGCCTTTTGTACAAATATTTGGTGCAATAAAGAATAAATAAATAAATAGGATGTTTCGTAGATGTGTTTTTGATTATTGTTAATTTTTACGTGTCACGTATTGAAAAGTAATATACCTACCTACTAATACAAAAATCAACAAGAAGTATAAGGGTTCAATCTTTCAATTTCAATTGTAAAAAAACGTTACCCCCACACTAGGATTTTCTCCTGTGTCGTGGAGGCAGTTTACAAACATAAATTGCACAAGGACAAACATCCAGACCCGGAACAATTATTTGTAGGCTATACAAATATTTGTTCCGTGCGAGATTCGAACCCGCGGCCCCCAGCGCAACAACTGATTGCTAAGCCACTACGTCACGGAGCCGTCGCCGGGTTATAGCTAAAGTGACCATACGTCCCGTTTTGAACGGGACTGTCCCTTTTCTCGGTCACCTGTCCCATTGTCCCCAAACAAAGCTCCGGGACACAAAATTGTCCCGTAACTCGTTGGATGGAAGTATTCAAAGTCAACATTCTTCAACATAATTTTTTTTTAATCGAATATATTTTATGTCTACCTGGTACGAATGCTCCGGTAGAAAGAGTATTTTTTTTATTTTGAATATATTGTGGACGTCTGAAAGAAACACTTACGGTTCCAGAGTTCTAAAGGCGATGTTGTTAACAAAGATAACAATAAAAAAACTTGAGCAGAATTTTATTTTTATTTAAAATCATCACCAACTTTATTAAAGCAAATTTAATCCACTGACAAATGTAATTAATAATTAAAAAAAATATGTTGCATTTAATAATTACCGTCTATACCGAATATAATTTTACAGTGAACACTAATTGTATAAAGTTATAGTTTTTAGAGTATAAATAAACCCATGTCCTGTTTTGAGTTAAAAAATAAATGGTCAGTTTAGTGTTTTTAGTTAAATTTAGTTTTAAAAATTTTTAGTTAATAGTAAAAAGTAGGTATACCTACTTAGATACTTTTTACCGAATTATAAGTATAGAACACCTTATTTACTCAATTATTTTTTGAAAAAGAAGAAAAAACAAGCAATAAATAATATACTATATTTTAGCAAAAAACTATAACTTAGTAATACTAATTATAACTTAGAACATAAATGAAAAACTCATAACTGACTTTTTGGCCCGACCCAGGATTCGAACCCGGGACCTCATGATCTGCAGTCGCACTACTACAACCACTAGACCAACGAGGCAGTACTATACATAATAAGATATTGTGGTTGGGTGATAATATTGAATTATTCTTTTATAGTGTATATTATAATATTTGTCGAATTTTAATTATGGATTCGAACCTTACATGCTAACCACTAGACCAACGAGGCAGTACTATACATAATAAGATATTGTGGTTGGGTGATAATATTGAATTATTCTTTTATAGTGTATATTATAATATTTGTTGAATTTTAATTATGGATTCGAACCTTACATGCTAACCACTAGACCAACGAGGCAGTACTATACATAATAAGATATTGTGGTTGGGTGATAATATTGAATTAGCCTTTTATAGTGTAAATTATAATATTTGTCGAAATTTTAATTATGGATTCGAACCTTACATGCTAATGGTGCTTCATTTTTTTATTTGCATTTACTTCAAAGAAAATACACGCAAAGAGCTTCATCGCGCAGTAAAAAACACAACAAATATATGTATAACTAATACGAAAAATTATACCCAAAACAAACAAATAATACTACCTATAAATAACCTAATAAGTAATAATATTATAATATTATCGACTGATAAGATGACGTGAGCGCACACGGCGCTGGCAGACGCTCTAACGACACGGGTTCCACGTCGAAGAGCTCAGGGCTCACTGACTCCAGCAAGCCCGTGAGCAGTGAATACGCCCAGATTTTAAGATAATTTCATAATAAAATCAAATTTTGGTCTTTTGAAAAAAATTTTACTATAGAAATGTTCATTAATAAATTGCCTATCCATTGGTGTAAATCGCAAAATAAAATAATACTTACTTTACGAGGAGATGCATGTTATCAATAATAATTTCACATTTATGTGGTTTCGTTGTAAGGAGATTATATTAATATTTATTCCTTTAAAAAAAAATTGGATATAGCTTTTATGGAATCAAGATTATGTAGAAATATAATGTGTTTTTTATTTGTTGATATATCTTTTAAATAAAAAGTAGATAGCTCCTAAAAACAGCACAAATAACGACTAGCGCGACATTTTGCTCAACCTGCGCCTTAAGTAAACATACCGCCTATAACAACATCGGATACAGCGACATATCGCTTAGAACGACGGAACTTTATCGATATTCATTGGGTATAACGACCAACCGTTGTGCTTGTAAAATAAAACAATAAAACAATACAAACAATTTTCAAACTTATTCTAATCTATGAAGTTATGACGTATTATTGCCTATGCATTTTCTCCCACTCCATCCGAACCTCTTGCGCGCTCTTTGCCATTTGTCCTTGCATGTTCCACGACTTTTTTAGTGCGATAGTTAACAGCGTGATTCAAAGGTTGAATAGAAAGTTTTGATTTTTATTATGTTGTTTTCGTTTTACCATGTCATAAAAACAGAGGAAAGTGTTTAGTATTGAAGAAAAGTCATACGTTATATGGAGGTTGCAAAATGGCGAGTCAAATAGTGAAATTGCAAAAGAATGTGGAGTCTCACACTGTACAATATCAACGATTTGGAAGAATAGAGATAAAATAGAAGCTCTTTTCGAGGAAAATTCTTTGAAAATTAAACGCTCGAGGACATCTGAACATAAAGTTATGGAAGAGGCTTTATTAACATGGTTTAAACATCAGAGGGCAAACAACGTCCCAATAAGTGGTCCGATCCTGCAACAAAAATCCAACGAATTCGCTCGGCTTATGGGGAAGGAAAATTGCAAGTGCTCGTCGTCTTGGGTACAACGTTTTCATGCTCGTCATAATATTGTGGCTGGAAAAGTTTGTGGTGAAGCGGCTGGCGTTCCTGAAGGTGTGACTGAAGAGTGGCTCTCTGATAAGTGGCCTACACTGTGTGAAGGATACAAACCAGAAGAAATCTTTAATGCGGATGAAACCAGATTGTTTTTTAATTTAACCCCTGACAAAACACTAAAATTCAAAGGTGAGCAATGCAAGGGTGGGAAATTGTCTAATACCACAATTACAGTGTTGGTTGCTGCGAACATGACTGGATAGTGTAAAAAAAAACTATTAGTGATAGGAGAAACTAAAAAAGCGCATTGCTTTAAGAACATACATTGGTTGCCTGTAACATATTAAAACAACACTAGATCCTGGATAACATCGCTTATTTTTGAAAAATGGCTGCGAAACTGGGATGCAGAATTGAAATCTAGAGGAAACAAAATTCTTCTCCTAGTAGACAACTGTCCTGCTCACCCTGTAGTCCTCAATCTAAAATGCATAAAACTTGGTTTTTTTTTACCGCCCAATGTCACCTCTATACTACAACCCATGGACCAAAGAGTGATAAAAGCTTTAAAAACACAGTACAGAAAACTTCAAGTACTCCAAATGCTTCAGAATATTGAAAACGGCGAAGATACAAAAACTCTTAGCATTCTAGATGCAATTCTAATGATATCGGAAGCTTGGGAAAAGGTCATACAGACCACCATAGCGAATTCCTTTCGCCACGCAGGTTTTAAAGATCTCGCTCAATCACTAAAGGAGGACGATGATGATATTCCGCTAGCGAGAAAAATGATAAAATCTTCTACAGATGAAGATGACAACTTTTTTTTTCTTTTTAAAAAACTTACCACTAGCTCAATTGGCTGCTCAGTTACACAGATCTACTACCATAGAACCATTGATTGAAATAGAGCAATTTATTGGAATAGATGACAATGTTGACGTGTGCGCCGTAGTTACTGAGGAAGAGATTCTTGCAGAAGTTGAAAGTAATAATCGTAACACTGATGAAGAAAACGAAGACCCCCAAGAGCAGTTCCAACCAACAACACTATACGAGGCTATTAATGCTATAATAGTTTTACAAAAATTTGTTGATTTTAACGAAGTTTAATGCTGATGATAATCAAGCAATCTTCACAAGAATGAAACGTAAAATGCAAAACACATTTGAGACTTGGCTTAAAAAAAACAGACCAAAATGACTGATTACTTTAAAAACTAATTGTAGTCTATACGCTAATTGTAAAAACTAATTGTAATATATATTGTAGTTTTTCAGAATAAATAAATTTATGTTTGTATACTTGTGTATATTACTTATAACAACTATCGGATATAACGTCCGAAGTTACATGGTCCCTTCAATGTCGATATATCCGGTTTTGACTGTATTTTGTTTTGTTATAATTATTTTGTAATATGTTTATTTAATTCACTTCATTAAAAGTACACTTCAACATAATTCAAATGGTAACATGTTCCTAAAATATTTACAAGTTTTCTAGTTCAATCACAAAAAAATTATAGTTAAGGCTCAGTGTACCACATATGACACTGAAATAAAAGACTGATTTTGTAGTTAATTATTGGATTTTGATTTTGTTTGTTATTTTTTCCCAAGTATTATTATCACTACACACACATTATACATTATACACACATTATACACACACATTATCACAACATCACATATATTTTTATTAGCAACAGAAAAAAATTGAGCCTTGTAGGGTTAGGTTTAAAAAAAGAAATGAAAAGCGTATTAATAACAAAGTGGCATCAGTGCAAGCCTTTATGAAGGAAAACATATTATTTCGGAGCACTTTCCTTCTAATGAGACCACATAAAACTATATTATTATGATAAAATTAACTATGTGATAGGTTATACTCTTAAGATGCTGCTTTTTTGTAGAATAATATAAAACTAATAACGACACTTACTTGCTCTTAGCTTTTTTCAACAAGACGTTAGTTATGAACATTTTTGAATTAGTTAAAATAAGGTAAAAATTAAAAATATTAACACAAACAACCACAAAAGGACAAAACTATTTTTTTTTGGAGTTTATGGCCTGGCATCCTGGCATCTAGACCTTTAGGCCAAAGGACAAAACTAGTGTATTATCTATCATAGATAAAATAAATAAATATGTAGCAAGCAGTAGCAAGTATCTATGGACAAAACAGTAGTTCAGTGTGACCATCTTTAAAATACAGATCCTGCCTTACTTTGGTTAAAAACCTGCCAAATCCAACCAAAGTCTGTAGTGAAAAATGCCTAAATTCTGCCAACTTTATTTAACATTTTCTAATTGTACTAAAGTAAGAAAAGTAAAAGTGCACATTTAAATGTTATATTTTTATTGAATTAAAATTAAACATCTTTCGTTGGTTTGAATGCAATGCAATCGCCATGTTCACCAATTCCTTGTTTAACGTGCAAGATAGACGCTACATGTTTGCTTATATCTAAATCTGTTTCGTGTTTTTGTCTTAGTTAGTTTTATTTGACAGAATATTCTTTCGCATGTTGAATCCAAACATATTTTTGGAACGAAGTTCCTTATCGGACGGTACGAATTTGGCGGATGGAACCTGGCGAGAAAAAGTGTAAGATCTTTTCAGTCACGACCCCTTCTGACGTAGTGTAGACGGCCTTGAGAGAAAGGGAGATGAAATAATATCCATCTCCTTCGCACTTTTTATTATTTCGCCATGAAAGAAATATTATTTTATTTTAAATGACGCTTCATTTTTAGACGCTAATAATTCATTTATTTGTATTTGTTAATCAATAATATAATACGTTTATCAATATTAATACACTACGAAAGGAACTTCGTTCCAATCGAGTTTTCCACTACACTCACGGATTTTTTTTTACGTTTACTAGCAGCGGCTCCTTTAAAGCAGATAGCATGGATTCCAATTTGGATCTGATTATCTTTAGCTTTGAAGATCCACGATGAAAGTAATGGACCTTACTCTACTCCGCTATATACGGCCTTTCATATTTTTGCTTCATCATCACCACCAATAATTACTATCGTCCACAAAACATCATTAACAAAATATCGCTAACAAGATATTGTCACCACGAAATCTAATTCGATAACAAAAACAAAGTAAAATATGTGTCTTCTATGACATGATTGAAATATTAACCATTAACTCCTGTTTACGAATACTCGTTTTAAGGCGAAGTACATAGGGTTGCCATTGTCGGCATTTTAAGTTGCCATAATGAAATCTACTTTTAATACCCGAATACTGGCAGTAATACTGCCAGGTTTTATAAAACGTCAACCGATCATGCCAGAGGCTAAAATAAGAGGTCAATCCTACAGGAACCTGCCACAAATATGGTCACACTGCAGTAGTTCCACAGACTAATATGATGCTTACCATAGACTTAGAATTAGAATATACTTACGCCAGCCAGTATATTCTAAGCACTGACTTAGAAGTATATGGACTGGGCATACCAAAAGAATTAGCGTGACTATCTAAACAATAATGGCTCATAAAATGGCCGCCTTTTATAGGGTTGTAACTCAGCAGTATGGGCAGCTGATATCGATATTTTTACTAATATGAGTTTGTTCTTATTTTAAATAATTATAGAAATTAAATCCATAGCCTAATTGCGTAACACACCTAAAATGGCAAACCATACCAATCTGACAGTTTAACAACATCCATTGCGTGCTTTTTGTTGTCGAGCAAACGAATTTTTTAATCACATGAAGCAATGGATATTGTTGGATTGTTATTGCTTATGGAGTGTAGAGTAGAAGGAGAACCATCTTATAAGGTGCGAAAGTTAAAAAAGTGTCCCAATATATACTGAAAATAGAAGTTCCAAAACCTACCACAATAGCGCTGGCGTCTGAAAAACTACGATATGAATATAGCTGTTGTAGACGGAGTGAAGTCAGCTGAATTAAAATATTTAAAAAATTTCATGACTAGAGTAGTTAGTAAAATGCCAGTATACAAAACCTCAACTATTTACGTAGTACAAAACCAAGTGGATTGGTCGGTCCTTGTTTATTTCTCCATCTTATTCTAATAAATTTTGGCGCTTTTTTTTAAATTTATCCTATGCTACTGCAGCGCCACCCTTATTGGACGCGTTTTTAGGGACACTTTTCACATACAGAGATGGTCCTCCTTCTACTCTACACTCCATATTATTGCTATCCCTTAAATTTCGTTTGAGCTGCTTCACGAGGCTTCACCGCATATGTATACTTACGCAATGCACAGTCTGCTACAGATTTTTTGTGTTAGGTACACAGTCAAACAATGAGTTAAGTATGCAGGTAGCTAACTTGCAACTTGTTTTAAACAATGTTCTGAGTGTGCTAAGTGCTTACTCAAGTTTTGAAGTTATCCTTCTTTTGGCGCGTTTGAGAAAAAAGATGAGAGTGAATTTTTTATGACTTCAATTGGTAATTGTCAATTATAAGTTTTCCTGAGAACTGATAACTATATTCGAGATAGTTATTCAAATATATATGAATGTATAAAACGTGTTTTATTTTAGTTATTTTTGTTTTGTTACGCTAAAGAAGTATAACTTCTTACGTGCGTACATAAGTACACACACACGTTTTGTTTTACATCAATGTGAACAAAGTTAAAAAGTTATAACGCACACAATAAAAATTAATATTGACAGAGTAGTGGGAAAATTAATATTTTTGCTTGTATACCAATTACCTTTGTTTACTGTACAATAATATTGTACAGTAAACAAATGTATGGAGATGGGATGGTGATCCTTGATTTCATATTGTAATCCCATATTATAGTATTTTTAATATAAAATAATAATGATTAGTTGATTAAAAATTAAATAATCTGTTTTTAAAATCAAAACTTATTTATTATTAATTGATATTGTTCGCGCCAAACGCTAGTTTCAAGATTTGACGCCAGAGGGCGCTCGGCTCGGTGCATTCGTACCGGTTTGACGTTCAGGCGAGCGGAGTGGGTTTAGCGCGTGGCGCGGCGGAAGTCGAACATTAGCTTGAGAGCAGAGGTGCGGTCGATTAGCGTATTTTGGTGACCGCTGCATACATTTCGCGCAACCAGTTTTTTTTTTTTGTTTTATGGTCTAGATTTTTAGTATTTGTGCGCGTTGAATTCGCTATTGAATTCGTGGTTTCGTGAAGACCGCCTCGGATTAATTTGTCTAAGTTGTAGTTTCTAACTAGCACGGCGTGAGGTCGTCCCGTATAACCTCTAATTAGTGTCGCTAGGCTGACTTTGAATCTTTATGCGGGCGTAGTATTTAATATCGTACGAAGGAATTTAGTTTGTCGGTTGTAACGCTGAACTTTGTGACTTGAGAAGAAATCGTGTTCTTATTCGTGGTTATAATCTTGTTACTACGTGAAACGGAAGTGAACTTTGATCCACCGTTTATTAGTCGTGCCGTGTGTTACTTTTTGATTACGATTAACGGGGATTTAGTTGATTTTGAAGTTAATTATGTGCACAATAAAGTTGATAATCTGAAATATTGAAGTGACGTCAGACTTCAGGTCGGACTAAGTGAACTACCACCTTTGGAGAGAAGCAACGCTGGAGCTGCGGTCCGACTTCAACGGTTAAGTCAGGTCAAACATCATACATACTACAATACACTACTTACATGTACCTACACCTACCTACGGCCTGACCGAGCCTTGGGGCGGTCTTAGCTTCAGATCCAGGTACGTACAATAGTACCTAGCCTTATCTCTATTATGTCAATTGTTCATAGGCCGTTGGGCCTCGTCCTCTGCTGTCCGTGGATAGGACTACTGATGCGCCCTAGTCCAGTCTACCTTTGTTGGGGCAGCTCGGGGCGTGTACAGATATATAGGAACGTTGGGTCCTGCCGGATATCATATTTAATTTTTTAATTCAGATTTTAAATGAAAAATATTATTATTTTTCTATTTTCGCAGGTACATTAATTTTGTTCATTTAAAATTCGAAAATCTGGCATGATCATGAAATGGTGGATGAAATATGATATCCAGAATTTATAAATTATTATTATTATTATATATTCATTTCTGAACAAAATTAATTTAATAAAATAATTTCTATCGACACCATGGATAAGAGTGTTAGACACTATTTCACTGCTTTTTTGACAGTTTGACAGCAGATGTACCTCACAACTTGGCGCTTAACATGGCGGCGCAGTCACGCAAGGATAAGCTAATGACGTCACACGAAAGTATTACTAAAATAAGCACTTTACAAACTGTAGATGTCTCTCTTTTCTATTGCAGCTACTGCTTTGTTAAAAAGAGACAAAACTGTTTTTGACAAGTGTGTGTCGATATTATAGATATTTGTATAACTATTATTTCCATAGTGGAGTATGCCCTCTCCATAGGTATATATCTCTATGATTCTAAGTCTATGGCTTACGCATAATAGATGGGCGGATTTTTAAAAAAGTGTACTTTCGTTAAAATATATACATTAGTTGATTTTTAATAAAATGTATAATATATTTGAATAACTGCTTTAAATTAATTATAAAAGTAAATGAAATTATGTAATAGGATTTTGCGTTCCACTGAATAACAATTTAATATCTAACACAGTGAATTAAATGAAATGGGTTCAATGAAAAGCATATTTTTATTTATGTAATATATGTTTATAGATGAAAAAAATGAACATTTACTTCTGAGAATTAAAAATTAAAATAATCGTATGTTTACACAAGTGATTAGTCAACTAATTAGTCAAGGGATATATCCCTTGACTAATTAGTTGACTAATCACTTGTGTGTTTTTCTTTGTAACTATTTAAATAGCCATTTATTACTGTTTTGTCAAATAATTTTACGGAATAACAAAATTGTTGTCTTCATAACAAAAATTAAAATATTTTTAACTGAAAATAAAAGCGAAAATATACCCCTACTTTGGATTTTTGTTAGTGGGACAGTTAATCATTGGAACGTTA